CACAACTGAAATCAGAATTCTGTTCATGATTTTGCCTTGTCAATCTCTTGAAAATCTCCCCGTATGATCGGTTAAACATGAACCGAGCCATTCGGCGTAGTAGGCGTAAAAATCGCCAAGGATCATGATTTCTGCGCATGGGAACTGTTGTAGCAAGAAATCTGTAGCCATTTGGACATGGTCAATGAGTCGGTGTGTTTTGGCATTACCGCTTTGGGACCTATAGATGCATCCGTAGACGCGCGGATGATCGTCGCTGTCTACGCGTAGCCAAAGGATGGATAGGTCCAAAACTTCAAGACTGCCGAGGCGTTGAGAACAAATGTCCTCTGCTCGAGCCCAAGGCACAAAGGAGTGTCCAAATTTGTACCCCGGGTACGAAGTATCTGCCGGAGAGAATACCTGCATCTCGGTCAGAAAGAGCAAGGCCGGCTTCGCCGTCTCGAGATGGTAGTGGACGGCATTTAGGTTCGAGTGAAGCCCCCTGATGTTGCAGAAACTCATGGATAGCATGGCAGGGGTCATCTTCGTCTTAATGCTCAGTTTGTAGTATAGTAGTATTTCATTTAATTCCGCTACTATGTTCATGGGGGGGGGGGGGGGGGGGAGTGGGCCTCCAGCCGCCTGAGTGAAAGTGGCAAAACGTAGAAGCTTCCACTTCACGGCGGTATTCTGTTAAATTGTGGTACCAACCTGGCTCTAGCCGGTCCATATGTGCAACAGCAAAAGCTGCCGCGTGGCTCTACCACCGTTGGTTATATGGATCTCTGACATAGAGGTACCGCAGTGAGGTTATTGAGGTGGTACGCTGTTGCTGCTGTCCAAACGCGAATTGCAAGCAAAAAGAGAAGCAAATAAGTCCGCTTTATCCTTAGGCGCCAGTGAGCCATCCTTGTTTTACCAACGGAGGCAGTGTAGACCGACAGAAGTTTGCCTCGACCGCTTTAGCGAGAGACCAAAAAGCTCTACTGCTAGATGGACAGAGCTTTGTATCGATGCGTTTAATGCGATCGAAATTGGCTTGCAATAATGTCCTTTTACAGGACTTGGCGGCTTGGTTAAAGGCTCTCTTCTTAAGGCTAATATCCAGAGCTTTGCGGTCTCGAGCGTCGACCCAGGATAAGTACGCCATATGCTTGTGCTTTTTACGCACTCGGCGTTGAACCATGGGCGAGCTTTCCCACCAATGGGCACGTCAGCAGAAGGGGTGAAATACTCCATCGCTTGATGTATCACGTCGGTTATGGAATCCGCGCAGTTCGACAGATCTTCAGACGAGAAGCAGACCTGCTACCAAGGATAAGATGCAAAGAAATACCGCATCTCATTCCAGTCTACTGACTTTTATCGCCACACACGCCGCAGTTAGGTGGGGAATATAATGACACAGATTTCACCATACAGTGGTCAGAAGTTACCAAAGTGAGGTAACCTGAACTTCGTACCTATCTGGCCATCCACATCAAGTACCCGGTATCGCTTGTTGTACCAGCTGGGAGAGCCCCAGCGACAAGGCAAAATACCACACCTCTCTCCCAGCGTCGTCGGTCTTCTGGTATGGTGGAACAGCCAGTCCTGATGACAGACATTGAAGTCCCCTAGAAAAACATACTGTGCATTAGGGTAACAATTTAGAGTCATATCATAGGCTTCACTGAGGTGTTCAAACAGCCTAGTTGTCTCCTGGTCACCGCTGTGCGATCGTTAGACACAAGAAAAAATAATTTTATCCATTCCTGTGTCTATCAACCCTAGATCGTAGAGAAAGTGAGGTCTTCAAGGTGACGGAGGCGCTTACCGCAGGTGTCGTTGTGGACGTAAACACAAACTCCGGTGCGCTGATGGAAATTATGCTCCAATATGTATCCAGGGTAGCCAAGGTACGCTGAATCTAGAAGATTTTGATCTGCGTCTCAGTCAAAAAGAGTAAGTATGGCTTGTTAGTCCCAAGGTGCTACTGGACTGCATTGAGATTACAATGCAGGCCTCGGATGTTTGTGAGGTGCACTTTGATGGAGATGGAGTGCAATCGCTGTATAAACTTACTCTTCTTTTTCCTTTTTTTCATAAATGGTGGAGTGAATAGGTTTAGGGGATGGCAGTTGGGCGACGCGTCACACATACAACCTAGGGACGCAAACAGTTATAGCATCGATGGTACCTCCCAATGAGATCGCGGGGAAGCCCGAACCCCATGGAAATCGCCACCAGGTCTTCTCTTCCGGTCGCCAACAGGCATGATGAAGCGATCCCAAAACTTTTCGTAAGATAGCGGGACAGCCTTTCATGAGCTTTTGGCTCGTTAATTGGGTCCTCAACTATCTACGGTTGGCCTTAACCTCCATAACTAGGCACCTGACACTAAGAAACAGCCGCGTCGCAACCGGTTCTTATGCGCAAAGCAACTGTCCAGACCCATTCTCCTACTCTTAACCTATCACCATACCGGAACACGACTTGCATCATTTGGCGGTACGTCTTTGACAGGTGGGTGTTAACTAACCCTCGGCCGGGCCTCTCACTAATAGAGGACCAACTTACCACCAGTATGTAGTGCTGCTTGTTTAGCACTACCCAGGGGATACGTGTAAGGAATCAGGATTCAAGTAATTCCTATGGACGCGTGCAGCTTCATCATCCATCTCTATTGAAATTATGATGTTTTTAATTTCAATAGCCTCGCGTAACATTCTTGGTAGGAATTGGTGTTTTTTCGCGAGGGTTTGTGATCTTATCAAATCTGATGTAATAGCGGGGACGATCTAGAAGATGTTCACAGACTGCAGACCTCCCAGAGCGTTGGTGCCTCACGTCAGCTCTATGTTCTTTCACACGAGTTTTAATAGATCTTTTGTTTGTCTTATATAAAAGAAATCACATCCGCAATCAAGCTAGTACACTCCTGCATCTTGTAGAGGACTTTTGACGGATGGTTCCTTGGATTCCTTTTCCTCGGATGGACCTTCTTCGATCGCCTGAAGTATGTTTTAATGGAAGCATGATGTAAGCTTGATGTAGCCAACCTTATCTTATACAGGGTAGTATAGCAGGCACACGCTCGAATGTGGCCGGCTTCACTCGGTCACTGTGACGTAGGCATGGGAACCGAAGCTTGTTGTCTTGCAATATTTGCTCGATGTGCTGAAGTTCGGCGTTCAGATGTTTTCTGTCTCAGACCCTTGTGCTCTCTGAAACAAAGATTTTCCTATGGTAGCTAACTGTGATAGGTTACGGGAATAGGTTGTTTGACGTGAGTGACCCGGGATCATTTTTACTAAAAGTTTGGCCTGATTTACGCAGGATACATCTTTACAGTAAGCTATATTGTATCATCATGTTTTGCACTAAGATGATGACTGGGTTTGCAATTAAGTGTTAAAGATATAGCTAAATAAACAGTCTGTGACAATATTATTCGACATGTTATCGATATTACATTAAATTAGACCAGAAATTCTCACAAAATTAAAACGCAAGCAAGATTATGATATTAAAAACATTAAATCTAATCACAATAAAGAGATGGCTGGATTACTATTCAGTCTCTGCCATAGGGATTCTGTCATTATTGAAATTAAATCCAAAGTAAAGTCATTTTGATGATAAAAGAAAATTCAAATCGTCTTAAGGCGGCTACTCACATGCTTGCCGCAGTGACAGGGTGTACAGCGATCGGGGAAATATCTGAACTGTCCCTACAAACATTTTTATACGTGGTAGAGCCATGCTGCATATACGTGGTAGACGCATGCTGCAGCTATATTATGGTTGTAGCACGAATGGGTCGGTTCGACCAGGGAAGGACCACGCTCTCACAGAATACCAGCGTAAAATAGCAGCTTAACGCTGCTGTGTTTCGTATGGTGAGTGTAGAGAACCGGATACCCTTTTACTGGAAACGATGCATTCCATCTTAGTCCTCACGAGTGACAACGCATCTGCATTTTGATTCGTAATCGAAGATAGATGTAGATGTCTATGGGCCACAGCAATCACTTACCATCAGGTGTACTGTGTGCTCGTTTGTCACCCTTATCCCATAAAAAAACGCCTGCCGTTCAGTATGAGAGAGTGTACGTCTCGCTGGACGCACGCGTTGAGAATGGCGCCAGTTTTATCGAAATATCAATGAATCGGTATATACAGCCTTGGCTCTTTCTTATAGTTTTTTGTAGTTTTTTATAGTCCAGCTGGTGGTAAGTGGATACTGTGGCCCATATACACCCACATTTATCAATAAAACAACTAATTAATAAATAACTACAACCATAATATAGTGCTTATAAGCTGCAGCATAGCTCTACCACGCAGTGTTTAGGTTATTAAAGACAATTAAATGTGACTAATTTTACTTGTCATAATTGAATATAACCAATTTATTCTGTGATATAACAACTAACTTGTGCTTAGTAACTATAATTTAACTAGTGTTTGTAACATTTGTTTGTATCCAGGGTAATTATGAGTTTTAAAATATTTTTGTTTTTATAAATTTCCAATGATGAGTTTTAATAAATTTTATTACTAAAAATTTGTATTATTATTTAATTATATAGTTAACGACATGTTGTTTATATTCCAGCAATTCTGATACTATTGGAATATTTTTTTTTCCCATACTGGCCCTTATGATAAGTTAAATAGATATCTACTCGGTAACAAATCCCAGTAATGTTACTTGTAAGTTTCAACGTTCAAATAACGTTCTTTCTGCGGTGAAATTGCCCCAATTGCGCTAAACATGCAACAGCGGCAGCTAAGATCTAGGGAGCAAGGAAGGTCTTGCGCTCGTGCCGCCCTGCCGCAGGGCCAACTTAGAAAATTGCCCCTGCTTGCATACACACATCACAATTAAGGAGGCAATTAAGCGTCATCCCCACTCCTACACTCTGGATTGCCCCTGCGGCAGGCAAGTGAGTAGCCGGCTTTAGGCGTGACTTTAATTAGATATATTATTAAGAATACTCTATAAATAGTCTCTTAAAATTGTTACAGTTAAAATGGCGCAAAAGTTCTTGACGCTCGTGCTTGTGGCCGTACTTGTCATGTCGGTTGGAGTTGGTGCAAAACGTAAGTGTCTTTTTAATTTTATTTCTTAATAAGTATAATATTAATGTTTAAAAAAGACTGAAAGTCTGTAATGAATAATATATTTCTTATTTATTTATATAATAGTTTATGTGGACACATTTTAATACAATGTTAGAAAAATAGAGATATAACACAAGGTGTGCAAAGTAGGATCTGCAAATAACTTTATGAGAATGGGCAAAAGCGAAACAGATTCTTAGATATTGCCGAGTAGAAATATTATAAATGTAATATATTATATAGAATATTGCAAAGGAGACAGAAAATTCGAGTGGTTGTGCGAAGGTGGATTGGGAGCCACTTAAGAAATATGCATGTGGTAAACGGAGGTACGATTAAACTTTCTTAAGCTAAAAATTTAACGAATACATAATTTTTGTAAGTGACCAGTTTATTTAATTGCACCTCCATAGCATCGAAAAACCAACATGTGTGTCATCTAAAATTGGCAAGATAAAACGACGGGCAAGATAAATTTTATTTAACAAGGACAGAAAGTTTTGAAGATGTTTTAATTTTATATTAATTTTTTTTCTGTCTAAGATCTTAGCAGTATCAGAGTAGGAAATTAAAATATTATATCATTGATTCGCAAAGTATATAGAGAGGGGACATCAAGTACAGCACGCACGAGGCTTTTTACTAAGCCTGCTATAAAAATTTAGTATTTGGTTAGGTTTATTAAGAGATCATTGGCTCAACTTTTTTTTATAGAATAAGGGTGACAAGTGAAAATATTCCACCAAGGTAGAGCCATGCTGCAGCTATATTAATAGTATAGTTGCAAGAATTGGTCGGCTCGACAGGGGAAGGACCACACTCTCACAGAATACCAGCGTAAAATAGCAGCTTAATGCTGCTGTGTTTCGTATGGTGAGTGTAGAGAACCGGAGACCCTTTACTGGAAATGAGGCATTCCATCTTAGTCCTTACGGGTGACAACGCATCTGCATTTTGATTTGCAACAGAGGATAGATGTAGATGTCTATGGACCACGGCAACCACTTACCATCAGGTGGACTGTGTGCTCGTTTGTCACCCTTATCCTATAAAAAAAACCTGATGGTAAGTGGACATTGTATAATAGAGACTTACATCTATGCTCCATTAAAAATTAAAATGTTATGTTTGTAACAAATTTCGAATTCTTGGAAATTTCTTCACAATTGAGGGGGTGTTCCTTTTCACTCTAGGTAGGTATCGTTGTTTTAAATATTGTATTGTATTGTATTTCTGCTGCCAATAGCGGTGATTTGGTCTGAGGGGAATGCCAGTACGATTATAGACTGCGAACAATTGCGTCATGTCCTCTGAGGTTATAACGCATGTGTGATCTTCTTTATTTGTAAGGTACATGAGGGTAATATGGTCACCATAAGCTTTATCGCTCTATAATACCAAAACTAGGAGGATGACAGAGGCAAAACCACAAAGTCTTATACTATAACTAATATATTAGGAAAAAATAGCAAACAAGCTTTGGCAATAATTATGCACACTTCGAATAATCTACAAAAAAAAGGACGGACTACACTACACAATACTAAAATCGACTAAAATATTAACTTTAATGTAAAATGTCAAAATGTAGTCGATAAAGCAGCGCCCTATTGATCTTTTATTTTTTGTTTGACTGAAGAGCTATCGTATCACAGAGCCATCTATGGAAACAAGGTGTTAGTTTTTTAGTTATAAGAAAGTGACCATATTAACTGGTTGATCATATTACCCTCACGTATAGTTAGTTGCAGGCGTCCATGAGCTGCAATAGCAACCAACTATCAAGTGGACTGTAATTTCGTTTGCCACTTCAATTTTAACATTAAAATATATAATATTATTGTTACCTTGCACCATTAAACGTTGTAAATAGATTAAAAAAAGGACAGTGTTCAGCAGTGTATGTAACAGATAGATAGATAACCCTTTATTGCATTTAAACCTTAAATCTATTGTAACTAACAATACGGAAAAATTGGTGAACCATAAACAACGGTGGGTGTAATAAGCGATTTGTATCTGACAAACCGGTCGTGAAAGAAAAAAGATTTCATGCTTTAACGGATAAGTAACGTCGAATGTTTAAATTACACAATAATAATAATTATATACTCGTAATATGTGTAGGTTTATATGTTTATATATATATATATATATATATAGGTATTTTTCAATCTCTACTAATATATTTTACATGTAGGTATAATATGTGTGTGTGCTTAAAAGGCACATAAGGCAATTCGCAATGATGTGTTAGTCCCTACTTTAATGTATGGTAGTGTAAGCTGGGTGTGACAGAAGAAGCACGAGAGAAGAATAAATGCTGTAGAAATGCGATCATTAAGGAGTATGTTAAGGCTGAATCTGAATGACAGGGTGAGAAATTGTGTGATAAGAGAAGAGTGTGGTTTGCAATATGATGTTGTGACCAGTATTAAGAAAGGAATGCTTTGGTGATTTGGTCATGTAGAAAGAACGAATGAGGAAAGAGTGACAAAGCGAATGTTAATCGACCAAATTGGCGATATACTGAAAATGGGCCAAATTAAGGGTACCTTTAACTGACGAGCGTGTATGCGTAGATGTGTCAGGATCGTGTCAAATGGAAGTCCATATTCTCTGCCTAACCCTCTGACAGACATGAGTGTTTATGTATTTTTATGAAAGTATATTTTTATAAGTACAAGTAATCCATATACTAAGTTAGTTAATTTTCATTTAATTATTCTATTGATCTTTGATTATTACATTATTCTGATATTGCACCTCCAAAATAGCGTTTTCTCTTTTTGTATAGATTAAATGGTGGAGAACGCCTTAAGGCATTGAGTCTGTCTTATTACTTTTTGTGTAAAATGTAGTATACGTAAATGAGCGTCTTACTGGTGAAAATCGACGGTTATTTCGTACTACGAGAGCATTCACTGTCGAACAAGGTTACAGGTTTTGCTGGCTGCGAAAGGGATCTATATTTATTAGGAAAGAGGAATATCAAGCAAGGGAGCCTCGCAAGCCGTTTTAGGTCGGAAAATTTTCTCAGCCACCTGCTCTCTGCCCAAACCAAACCGGATGCGGCGGCCATTTAATAAACGTTACCTGAGCCTCAAGAGTCTAATCATTAATATTTTGTCACTAATTTGTAGCCCATATGGTCATTATTTTTCTTATATAGCATAATTTTGAATTTAACTCTTTATATTGATGATGAGATGTGTAGGTTGCATTTATATATAACCTAAACATCTTCTCCCTCAATGTACTTTCCTCAAAATTTTTTATGGTTAATTATACCCCTTCTTCTGTTCATATGACACTCTCCCCTTTAATGCCAAAATACTTCAATAAATTTTACACGACCTTCCCATGGCTTTCCTAGGATTGTTAGATGCCATAGATAATTCAACTCAGATAAAGTGCCATAACATAACCGTCCCAGAGGATTGTAAAAACGTTTTGTCTAGGTTTTCATTTAGGATTTTAAGCATGAACATAAGAATGCGTAAATACGTTGATAATCTTCTAGTAACCCTAAAAAGATTAGATCTTGATTTCGACGTTATTGTCTTCAGCGAGTGTTGGCTTGATGAGTATGCGACGGTCCCTCCATTGCAAGGATTTACATCATTTTACTCTAAGAAGTATATTAATAAGGCAGGAGGAGCCGCTATCTATCAATGCTGCCACTGACCATGATATCACTATGGCAGGCATAAAGCTAAAGACACACAAACCAAAAGACCAAAACCTATTCGATGAAGAGTCATAGTTGAAATAGACTCAATAAGATCAGAGCTGGAGGGAACGGACTGATCTCCAGTAATGAACTGCAGCTCTCTTGACGAGTCTGTGAGTCATTTCACTAGAATGCTATGGGAGACAATATTGAGATACTCCAAAACTTGTGTAATATGTCGCCCTAGAACCATCTTATACCCCTTGGATGACTCCTGGTCTAATCAGATGCTCTAAGCACCGCGACAAGCTTCATATTGAATATCGTAAGGACCCAAACAACCCTACTAAAAACTTGTATATACGCACTATAGAAATTTTTACATAGGTCTAATCAGAAAATTAAAAGTGATTAATATAATAAAGAAACAAATAAAAATAAATGTGCTCCAAAAAAACTCTGGGGTACTATTAACCGCATAACTGGCAAATACACTAGTTCAAGCTCTCCTCTGGCTCTTATCAACTCAAAGCCCTCTGTAAAGCGAATCTCTCGATGTTTGCAACACCTACTTTGCCTCTGTAGGTAATAAGCTGGCAAAATCTACCATGATGAAATAAAATGAGACTCAGGAGTCTCTTGCCGAAAAAGTTCACATTCCTGATCAACCCGTTGGATCATTTTTCATGGATCCTATAGACGAACAGGAAGTTTTGGGTTTCATCCAGCCTCTTGATTTGGGTAGTGCCCCGGGTATGGAGGGTATCACTAACAAACTTTTAAAATCAGTAGCCCACGCAATTGCGGAGCCCCTGGCTGCGATATTTAACTTAAGTATCTCGTCAGGAGTCTTTCCAAGCCAGTGGAAAGTAGCGGCAGTTATCCCCATATACAAGAACGAAGCTAATGACGATCTTTGTTATTATCGTCCCATATCACTGCTGGGTTACTCTAAGCTCCTGGAAGGCGTTGTCCATATGCGGCTGACTAACTACTCGTATCTTGAAAATAATAATATACTCTCGAACCGTCAATTTGGTTTCCGTCAAGGAAAATCGACTGAGGATGCAGTAGCTCTTCTCACAGATATGGTTGTAAATCATATCGATCAGGGTCAATAATGTGTCGGTGTTTTTCTCGGTCTAGCTAAAGCATTCGATATGGTATCGATCCCCATCCGAATTAAGAAACTAAGTATTCTTGGTATTCGTGGACTGGCTTTAAATTGGGTTTCCAGTTATTTGTCGGGTAGTAAGCAACTGTCCAAATAGGTGATCAAGCAAGCGATCTTAGATCTGTAGATTTT